CAGGACATTGTTTAATAAAATAAATATGTAATTTTGCATTGACAAACGTGAAAGAAGGAACGAAATGCACCATTTGTCAAATTTAATGCCAAACACATAAACAGGTGAATTCAATTATCTAGCGATCTTTGGAAACTGCATCACTATATGTGACATCAATGGACGCATTCAGCAGAATGTTTATTTTAAAACTGTTGAAAGTTTTCTTCTCGCTGATTGGATTATATTTTTAAATCTGGAGTAATAATTCTATCTCAACAAAGAAAATTTCTAATAGTTGAAAAATAAAGGCTGTGTTTAATAGAGGCAGCTTTGCAACTGTTGTAAAATTCTTTAATGATTAATCTTGCCCTTAGTTCCTCACTGGATCTAAATGTATAAATCAATTATATTAAAGAATATTACAACAATTTGCAAAGCTACTTTTTCTGCTAAACGTAGTCATTGGTATGCGAGTTTGGAACAAGAAAGATACCTGCTGGTACGACGTCCATCTTGAGGGTTACGGGACCAATTAGACCTCCTTCTGCTCCCGAGCACATAGTTCCTATTGCCTCCACCCGGCTGTTGACTGGTGTTCAACTGTTGATTGGTATATGTATTCGAGAGACCCATTATCATCTCTATTATATCACGATCACGGTCGGAGCGCTGTGAAGATTGTAGCAAATAGATGTAGAGTTTATACATTTCTGGTGAATTTGTCAATAATTGTTGGTTTAATCAAATTTAAACTCACGTTCAAGGTCAAGATATCGATATCCCCATCGCTCAGTTCTTCGCTGTTCATATCCATACCTGAGCTGCCCTCGTTGCTGCTGCTCTCCAGCTCTTCGATGAAACCGCTCGCGCATCGTGGACACGTGTAATTCTAATTAGAAATGAAATGTCAGGGGTCTGAGTTATGCAATGTAAATTGCAAAGTCTGTCTTCGACAGATTACCTGGGACATATGTACACGCTCGTATTAGTTAAATACTTGCGAATTTAAATATATGCAAAATGAATATATCCCAGAAAACCAAAATCTACATTCGGGACATGTCTTTTTGTGACAACTGTTTAAAAGATATCTTATAAGACGTCTTATATCCTGATTTTGGACTTTATGGATGCTTTCCAACAAAAGACACAGATGACAGTAATACAGTGAATTTTTACTTTTTTGTTTTTCAATGTTAAACAAAGATAAAATGATTATTATGTTATATTAAGTTTCTTGTTGCAAAGCACCACATTTTATTAGGCTTATGTTCTACGTGTTGTACAACAAACTTTTTAAGTCTATTGATTAGTTATAGAATCAAAATAAATGTCTTTTTGTCCTACAGCTAATCAACAGGCTTGAAAAGATTTGTTGTACAATATATGAAATATTAACCTTATTTAGGATCTCTTATACTTATTAATGATAAATTTAGCACTTGCACTATACTGGGTTAGCTCACACTAAAGGCTGCTTTATATAAAATATCTACATGAAGGGGCATAGGTAATATAATCAACTTTGACAATGAAACAATACATATATATTCTGTCAAGTAGCATGATAATATCATTATTGAGTATTTAATCGTTTAAAATATTTATATGCTTTTATATTAATTTTGCTAATGCTTTCACAGCAGCTTTTAATATGCACCAATTCAGTATAATACAAGATCGAATTCGTTGTAACCCTCCATCGGCCATGTGGAATTCGCACCTTACATCAGCAATCTGGCTCTTTAAACTTCAAATGTTTTTAAATTATTCCAAACTGTGCAAGTCTAAATAAATACTTACAAAAACTTATAAATACTTGCAAAAGCTTTAACGAGTTTTTAGTCATAAAAATTAGATTGTATTTTACTTATTTTTTATAGATTCAAATTTATCTACCAGAATTCACAATTAAAATATCGACTGTGCCTTCTAGTTCAACTTGGTCGGTCGAGAGCTGCGTTCAGCGGAGAAAAAATTAATCAGTTAGCTCTTAGGCCAGTATTCATAGTCGATTCTTATTTCAAAACCGTTTTAAGTAGTGTCTTAAGACACTAATGTGGCTTTCTGATTGATTTATGACATCTCATGGCTGAACTTAAGACGATCTTGAATATAAGAACTGAATTACCGGCCTTAGGGTGTTATTTCATTTATGCGTTTTTGTCATATGACAAATGTATGCAGGACAAAGAGGTCTTCGGATCTCTATCTTGTAGCCAACCAACAGGCTGTTGTTATATGACAGAAACGCACGAATAAAATAGCGGACTTAGTAATTCTTTAATATGATTGGTTTTTAGACTTAGATCCAACAAGAATTAGGCAAGAACAAAGGCAAGGATCATATTAAAAAGTCACTAAGCGCTAATCGATTAGTTTTCTCTCCCAAACGCAGCCAAATGTCTTTATAAATAATAACAATAATATTAATCACAGTGAGACAGCAATATCTTTGCACACTTCAGAAATACTTCAGAAAAGGACAATGAGATAAACAAAGTAACATGTATATACTTTTCTCCTTCTAGACTGAAAGGATATAATTGTCTTATTCCAAATGAAACAAAAAGTATAACATGATACAAGAAAAAAAAAGTAATTGGTGCATATTTGTGCTCTTATTAAATTAGTACAAAGAGCCAGATTAATCAGGCGAGAATTCCAAAATAGTCGAGGTCGTCGATGAACGTCCTTCGTCTATCGCGGCTTGATCAAAACACGCCGTCTCACGGAGGAACTCAATGGAAGGGGTTCCATCGGGAACAACGATCGCGAGAACGTGCGTAGCATGCTTTCTGCGGAGGGGAAAGAGAGAGTTCACGATAGACATAAACGTGTACGAACGCGATTCGACCGTGCGATTGTCGTCAAAGTTTCGAGAAATCGCGAAGCTGCGGGGAAGTTAACGAGCGCTATCGTTGACCTCGCCGTTCGATGTGGAAGAGAATTGGGCAAGCTACGTTTATTGCGGGGACGAGGGGGGAAAGAGAAGAGACAGAAATTTCGCATGACATGGGGTGACAGTTATCTCGGGGATGGACGTACCACCGCGGCGATTTCGCGTCGCACGGTACGAACGAGTGGCCTTGGATAATGAGGAATGTCACGGCGCACTTACCGGCAGCAGACGCTCGATTTCGACGCTGCATTTGTGGCAAAAAAACCGAGACATCGGACTTCCATCCACAACGGCCTCCGCCATGTTTTACGTGTCCCTTGATGTCCCTCAATTTTCCATCTCTACTTGCCGTAGTTACGGTTGGCGATTTATTCGGCTACGTTCGACATGCCTCGGTTGGGCTCGGGTTTCGGTCACGAGTGCAACGAAACGATTAGATAGTAGGGTTGATTTTGGCTGCGGTCCACTTGACGCTAGAAACGCTTCAAAGCGATTGAGCGACCAATCAGAACAAAGAATTTTACGAAATGACTAATCAAATGCTGGATTAACACTGCATCCGATTTTCGTCGTACGACG